AATTATCCCGAAAGAAATTTAAAGTAAAGAACTTTAAATACAGATGCAAATAAGATTGAGGAAGGGGAGGTGGGGGGGTTGGGGTAACTGGGTGACAGGCACTGAGGAGGGCACTTTATGGGATGAGCACTGGGTGTTTTACTATATGTTGGAAAATTGAATTTAAATTTTAAAAATGTAAAAAAAAATGAACAAACTATTGACACCTGCAACAACACGGACGAATCTCTAAGGCATTGTGCTCAGGGAAAGAGGCCAGCCTCAGAGGGTTATGTACGGTATGATTCCACTGACCTCACATCCTCAGAAAGACATAATGGTCATGATGGAAAGTATAGTTGTAGTTGCAAATGTCAGAGATGGGGGGTTTGTGACTACAAAGGGACATTATGAGGGAAGTTTCTGGGTGATGAAACTGTTCTGTGTCCTCATGGTGATGTTGGTACTTCCATGAATCTACACATGTGGTGAAAGTCATAGAACTAAATACCAAAATGATGTCAGTTTTCTATATGGCAATTTAAAAAATAAAACCAATTAAAAGATTTTTTAAAAGTACAGATGCAAATACATTAGAGTTTATAACTATGCTCTCAAATCTAAATTTTTACTGAAATTATAAAATGGACATTTCCAAAGTGGGAATTTTACCTTCTTGAGTAGAAACATATCAGTATGAAAGTAACAAGAGGATTGAGGTAAATGGTTGTGGGAGAATTAAGGCAGGATTCACCGAATATGTCATTTTTTTGACATGCTGGCTCAGGGTATAGCTGCAGGGTTTGGGCAGGTGTATGCATGCTTCTCCCTCTGTGTTTCCAGGAGGGAGGGAGAGATGAGACACAGTTACAGCCAAACATATCTGAGAGGACTGTACTTCCTCTAGTGCTGGATGCACACCATTTGTCAGAACCATTCCCAGGAAAGCAAGCAAGCAACAGAATGCCTGAGTATGTGTCCCAACCCGAGGTGGGAGAGCAGCGAGGTCTAGCAGAGCTCTGAGGAGACCCAGGCCTGTGTGCACCTGCTGGAGGAGGAGACCCAAGTCTGTGTGCACGTGCTTGAGCACAAGTCCTCCCCAAGGCATATCCAGGGGCAGCAGGGTCAGGGCTCCATGGACATGAAGCTCTGGAGGCCCTGGGCTGAGCATCCTGTGTGGAGTGGTTTTACTCACCTGCACCAGGACTTCGGGATACATCTCATCAAAATGAAAACCCTTTTACTGCCACGGTAGGGAAAGATCCATTCTGTACTGAACACTCGAAAGAAAACAAAAAGCCTATGTGCCAGGAAAAATGACTTTATCTGACAATAAATATCCTCACCCTGTAATAATGGCTAATGTTTTTGAAAGCTTCTGTCAGATGTTGTCCATGCTGTGTATGTGCAGGATCTCCTCGACTGCCAGCGACCAAGAGGCCAAGCACCGTGTGGGGACCATGCTACAGACAGAGGCCCAAGGTCACAGAGACAGGACAGGGCAAGGTGAGACCAAAGTCGGCCTGACCTGTGCAGGTGTGCAGCTGGCTCTCAGCACAGCAGAAGCCTCCGGGTGATGTAGAGTACGGGCCTATCCACAGGATCAAACACTTTTACAAACAAATAAAAGTTGTTTGGACGGAGAATTGTTTAATCAGCTGCATGAGTACCTAGGGTGGGTTGACACTGGAGTCTGATTCCTGCAGTTGTTGTAGGTCACACTTGGAATATTCCAGGCACCTGTGTCGTCTTTCACCCTAAAGGCACCAGGTGGTTACCTGCTAACCAGATGGCAAATAAAACTCCTTTACCTCTTTGGTGCAGGTGAGAAAGGAAGGGCAGGAGTGATCCAGTCTTGGGTTCCTATCATCCCCCAGGGGCTCACCGGGGAAATATGAGGGAGATCTGCATTATCCTCCAAGATCCCCTCTCCTTATCTGGCAGAGCGTCTCTGTCCCTAGGCATTGGCCAGCCAAGCAGTCTGTGTGCAGTTTGCTTTGCAGGCTTGGAGGGACTGCAGGAAATGATGGCATCCCAGCACCTCGAGCCCTGGTACCTGCTCGTGTGCTAAGGATGTATTAGAAGCATTGGCCTGGGCAGGCACCTGCAGGGCCGTGGGGACACTGAGTGCCTTCCAGAGCTCAGCGTCTGCAGAAAGGACTACGCCCTCAGCGGTGCTGGGACTGGCTTGGCTGCAGAGGAGCACAGTGGGGAAACAGCACAGCTGTTTTCTCAACTCTGCTGGGAGAATCAGAACACAGGCTCACCAGGCAGGGAGAAGTGCGCGAAGCACGGTCAGGGACCTCAGGGATCTCAGCAGGCCTGAGGAGGCAGAAACCCAGGCCAGAGCTCTCCAGGGGCCTCCTGCACCCAGTCAGCCGCTGGAAGTCCCTGCCTGCCATAATCAGTTGTGAAACTGGGTCAGTTAGTGTTAGACCGGTTTGTCCCTGATTTTTTTTTTTAAATAATGTGATATACTGCCCTCCAGTGGCCACAAAACAATGGACTTTGTATCACAAGCGACGCCAGCAACTTTTACTCTTTAAAAAGGCTGGTTTAGACACATGAAAAGATGCTCCACATCACTCATCATCAGGGAAACACAAATCAAAACCACAATGAGATCCCACCTCACACCTGTCAGAATGGCTAAAATTGACAGGAAACAACAAATGTCGGAGAGGATGTGGAGAAAAGGGAACCCTCTTACACTGTTGATGGGGATGTGAACTGGTGCAGCCACTCTGGAAAACTGTGTGGAGGTTCCTCAAAGAGTTAAAAATAGACCTGCCCTATGACCCAGCAATTGCACTGCTGGGGATTTACCCCAAAGGATACAAGCATAGTGATTTGAAGAGACAACTGTACCGCCTGTGTTTGTAGCAGCAATGTCCACAGTAGCCAAACGGTGGATTCAGCCCAGATGTCCATGAACAGATGCATGGATAAAGATGTGGTGTGTATACAATGGAATATTACTCAGCCATCAGAAAGGATGAAATCTTGCCATTTGCAATGACCTGAATGGCTCTAAAGAGTATTGTGCTAAGTGAAATAAGTCAGAGAAAGACAAACACCATACGGTCTCACTCATATGTGGAATTTAAGGAAAAAACAAAGAAAAAAAGAAAAAAAAAACAGACTCTGAACTACAGAGAACACACTGCTGGTCACCAGAGGCGGGAGGGGGTGTGGGGAACAGGTGATGGGGATGAAGGAGTGCACCTGTCCTGACGAGCACCCGGTGAGGTAGGGAAGTGCTGAGTCACTGTATGTACACCTGAAACTAATATTACAGTGTATGTTAACTCACTGGAATTAAAGTAAAAAACTTTTTAAAAAGCCAATGCTGGTTGTTATCATGTCTTATGAAATACTGTACATAACACCTCGGTGAACATGGGGTGCAAGTGTCTTCCAGAGAGGAGTTTCGTTTACTTCAGATTAAATTCCCAGAAGTGGAATTGCTGGATCACCATGGTAGTTCTATTTTTAATTTTGGGGGGGGGGGAATTTGAAAGTTGCTTGGGTGTTAACTTATTGTGGTAATCATTTTGCAGTACAGATGTATATCACATCATTATGTCATACACCTAAAACCAACCCAGTGTTATATTCTAATTATATCTCAATTTTTTTTAAATGCTGATTATAGCCAATAAGATATATATTCACTCGCTAATAGCTTGCCACCCAGTCTGAAAATCAGTGGTCTCTGACAACGTGTTTCATTTTAATATATCATTATAGAGTATGGTTCATGACATATGGTTCACTCATTCTGAAAGTAGAAATGTCCTAACTTTGTCTCAAATAGTAAGTTTAGGTAAGTGTAAAATACAAATATAATTCCTCATACACTAATACTAATAATTAAACCAAGTAAATATATTTTCTAATTTATATGCATTTCACATGTATTATCCACATAGTCTCTCCTGCAAACCTCTCTACTTTTATTCTTCTGAGTTATAGAGTGAATTTCATCATTTAAGGATAGCAAGATGTACATTGTAATAAAGCTTATGGTTGTAATAGGAAATTTTAATAAAACATCTACATGACAATAGGGAAATTGTTAAATTGCATATATTCACATGATGACCATTATGCAATCATTAAAATCATGTTTTTAAAGAATACTTAATGAACCAGTGAAATAGCAATGATGAGGTGGAAAGAGAAGGTATGGAGTCCACAATCAGTGTCTGAACTATGGGAGCAAACACAGAGAAAGCCAGGAAATTCATGCAACAAGGCACTGGCCGAAACGGTAGCAGGACTTTGGGGGATCTTTACTTTATCTTAACAAGTTTTTATATATTTTTCACAGCATATATTTTGTGCATTTATTACCTTTTTTTAATCAGATAAGGTCCAAAATATTAAAAGCACATGAGATTGTCCCCTTTGGTAAAAGTACACAACAGAGGAGCACACCCCCACCAAGACTCCACAGGTTTGCCATGAGGCCAGGACATAGCACCCTGCAGAGCAGAAGCTCTGCCAGCCACAGAGGCAGCTTCCTGAAAGGGACTCCTGTACCTTCAGAATCGGAAGATGAGTGACTGCACTTCCACTTGCTTCCTTCAACCATAATTCCTACTAAACTCTATCAGGGCATGTGCTGCAGGAAGGCAGACCAGATAAGCAAAACTACAACACTAGAGGGTGGCTTTGTAGGTCCTAACTTTGGATTATGACCAAAAAAATATGAAACATCTAAAATAGTTTTAATTCTCCATTTGTCATATTTTATGCTCATTTTATTGCTTATAAAAGGTCATCATAATGTCATTTTTCCTACAGATTATCATAATGTTCAGATAAGTCTACGTAGTAAACTTTCAATGAGTTTGCGGCTAGTACAGCTGACACACAGTGCCACCATAGCTCCTGGTGGAAACATGGTGCCTGGATAGGTATGTGTGCCATGTTGTGCCAGGCACTGTGCAGCTGCCACCACCCCCTGCAACCCTGTCACACCACTGCCAGTAATTTCCGGGAAATTCTAACGCACGAAAGAAACTTACATGTCGTCTGGTCCAGACTTCTCCTACCAGGGATGAAATCCAAGAGTTTCTTCAATGACCTTGTGAAAGCACTGATATCTGTGATTCCAGTGTTCATGAGAAACCAGTGTTTTGCCTTTTTGGTTTCTAAATTCCAGCAAAGAAAAGCAAAAAAATAATTATCTACTGAAAATTGAGAGCTTTACAAGTTACTACATTTATCAGAAATCTACTAAAAGCTGTGTGACTTATTTGTATACACATTCAAGCAAGACAACTATATTGAATACCTCCTAAATCAGCTCTCTGCATGGGACTTCAGATTCCAGCAGAGATCAGTACAGTCTGGCTGTCAATAAATGTAGAGGCTTTGGGTTTTGTTTTGTTTTTTAAAGATTTTATTTATTTGACAGAGAGTGAGAGCACCAGCAGGCAGAGGGGCAGAGGGAGAAGCAGACTCCCTGCTGAGCAGGGAGCCCAGTGTAGGACTCAATCCCAGAATCCTGAGATCATGACCTCAGCTGAAGGCAGACACTCCACCAACGGAGCCACCCAGGCACACCCCAAAATGTCTTTTTTTTTTTAAGAAAAGATACTGATGTTGTGCCTGGGCAGTTCCGTCAGTGGAGCATCTGACTCTTGATCTTGGTTCAGGTCTTGATCTCAAGGTTGTGAGTTCAAGTCCCACATTCAGCTCCACAAACGAACAAGAAAAAAAATTTTACACCAATGACAAAAATTTTAAGTACCAATGATAAGTCTTTTAAAAGATTGCAAGCTTTCTCTGGAAAAAAAATATACAACATATTGAAAGATCTCTAGAAAGACTTAAATAAATGGGATATACCACATCATTGGACTTGAAGACTCAGTGTCACAAAGATGTCACTTCTTCTCATTGACCTCAAATATTCAGTGCAGTTCTAGCCACATGTTAAAGAGCTGTTAGTGGAATTTGATAAGCTGATCCAAAAATCTACAGGAGGGAGGAAAGAAACAAGAGCACAGACATACCAATGTAAAAACAGGACTTCATACAAAGTTCTTACAATGAAAGTAGTGTACTGGTGGCAGAGGGACACATTCTAAAACCAGTGGGACAGAGAACCCAACAATAACCCCGAGCAAAGAATGAAACCTGATTTAGGACAAAGTAAGTGCTCCGGATCAGTGGGGCAGGAGTAGAAGTGGCCACAGGGTGCGCCCTGCCCCGAGGTGCCCCTACCCCCACCCCGTAGTTGCCCACCTACACCCCCCCCCACGGTGTGTGAGGAGCAGACCATCGTTGCCCAGTGCGGAGGCTCCTCCCAGGGGCAGTCTGTCCACGGCCAGACCTCCCCAGACCTGTGGCCTCCTGCCCTCTCGCTCCTCGGAGCCAGACCTACCTCACACCAGCACGGCCTCCTAGCTCAGCCTTGCTCCAATGCACCGTGGCCTTCGCAGGCACTCCCCTTCCAGCTCTCGGTGGCTCTCACATCCCCCAAGCCCATCACGGGATCTGCCTCACAGAGGATCGGAACCAGAGATGGGCTCACTTGGTGGCTGGCATGGACAGATGACCCCAACCTGAGCAGAACGTCGGCCACAGCTTGTCCCAAGGTTTGGCTCAACTGCTGAATATTTCACACATAGTGACCTGGGGACACATAGCAGTAAAGAGACGCAGACCGGCCAATGCAATAATTCAAGTCTTTAAAGAACAAGAGTATGCATGCCTGCAGGGGCTGTGGCTGTTGACGGCTGCATGAATGCCCCATTGGGAGAATGATAGGGATGGGAGGGCCCTTAAAGAGCAGTTCTGGCTCCCTGGGAGAGTAGCACCGTGCTGGGCCCAGGGGGACCTCACGGCCTGCCTTAAAGAGAGGTCGAGCTGACGGGCAGTCGCACAGCCTAACAGTGATGCCAGTGATGGGGGCACTGAGACGCTCCGCTAGAACGCTGTCAGAGCCCTGACACAAGGGCTGGGGACATCGGGTGCATGTCCACAAGAACCGGGGCTCAACAGATCCCAGCTCGGTGCCACCTGCCCCCAACGAGCCAAGCTGTAAAAGAGTACTGCTGCCACTCACCCACTGGGCTGTGGGGTGCCTGTCACCAGCAGAGGCTGCTCGCAGAGATTTCAGGCCTGGCACTTCCCCAGCTGCACCACACTGGGGTTTGACAACCGTCACCTGTGGGGGCAATGCTGAGGGTTACCTTTGCCTGGTGGTGGAGAGACCCCCGGGGGGTGAGCTGGGGTGAGTACTCACTCTGAACAGGGGAGTGTGGTTGCTGGGAATGTCAGGGCTGGTTCTCCTTTGTAGGTCAGGCCTCAAAGCTTTGAGAGGCAGTCACTGAGCTGGGCTCATCGATAACAATGCACACGATGAGCCCACTGGAATGTGAGAGTCCAGGCAGTGGCACGTAACTTCCAGAAGCCAGGGGGCCCCGGTTACCAGGACAGCCATCAAGGGAAAGAGGCAGGGATCCCCGGGTGGCACAGCGGTTTGGCGCCTGCCTTTGGCCCAGGGCGCGATCCTAGAGACCCGGGATCGAATCCCACGTCAGGCTTCCGGTGCATGGAGCCTGCTTCTCCCTCTGCCTGTGTCTCTGTCTCTGCGTGTGTGTGTGTGTGACTATCGTAGATTTAAAAAAAGGGGGGGCGGGGAGAGGCAGGCAAGAGATCCCGGTAGGAAGATGAGTAACCAGCCCTGGTGTTCCTGGGGACAGAGTAGCCAGACACCCTTCAAGTACCACTGACCCTAGAGGACCAGGAGGCTCAAGATAGGGCTCCCAATAAAAAGTCACAAAGCCTCATTCAGTTCCAATATCCAAGCCAATGTTCAGACCTGGACCCACTGAAGGAGGAGATGACCAGCTCCCCAGGAAGAAGGGCCCAGCAGACACACCCAAGTACATACTATGGAGGTCCCCTCGGCCCTGCCTAGAGGGAGAAAACCAAATGTTTAAGGAAACAGAACATAGTGATCTTAATTGACTAGATGATGGGATCTACCAGAACAAAGAGTAAACTTAGCTAGGAAAGCTAAGAAACAAGGCAGCTCTGGCGGCCCTCCCGCAGTGGAAGCAGGACTGACCACAGGCCTTCTTGCTGTCATCCAGCCCAGCCTACATTTCTCATGTGCTGGTTTCTGGTAAGCTGACTCCTGGGAGTCTTTTGATGGGCTGCTTGAAGACACGCTCAACCTTCCTTAGACTACACGGGGTTCTCATCCCATCATCCCTCCCCCACGGGCAGACTTGCCTCCTGGTCTGATGGGTTCCTCAGCCTCTCTCTCCCAGCATTCTCCACTTTCTGCTCACAGGTGTTTCCCTAGTAGAATCTTCACTCATTTAACCCTGCTTGGTATCTGGTTCTTAGAGGACCTAGTGCCAACACAGGAAGAGGCTAGAAAAATCCCCAGGATGATGATAAAAGACGACTCCAGCTATGCACCAGGCCCAGGACACAACTGGTCAAGACTAATGCAGAAGGGATGGCTGCAGGAAGATAAAACTGACAGAGTGCTATTCGTTCGCACTCTGGCAGAGTAAGAACTAACAACAAATGACATGAACAGCTAAACAGAAACTCATCATTTTTAATTACCAAAATAAAAAGTTGAACAAGAAAAAAATATATTCAAGTATAATACATGACAACAGCAAAAAATATATATATTTAAAGTCATAATAATGCAATAATTAAATATTAACATAACAAAAATTACAATAGACTGGTGAGTATTTTAGTAGGCTGAAAGGAAGGGAAACGTGGCAAGAAGGGTGAGACTGGTATAAGAAATGTCAAGGAGGAGTTTAACATATCACATATGAACAGAACTGTTAAGGAAAAAAAAAAGGACAGTGTAGGCACTTTGTTTGGAAATATGGAATTAAATACAAAAGAAAGTTGAAATTAAAAGTGTTTATGCCTAATGAGAAGGAGTGGAGATTGGTACCATTGACTATCTCATAATAGTACTTGTAGATTTTTATGTGTAACTTTAGTACAGTTTAAATGAAATATAGTTATTAAAAATAAGAATGCAAAATATGGCAATTATATATGGCAATTATAATTTGACAAATCTACCAAAAGCAAATACCACTGTAAATAAATATATCATTATAAAGGAACTAAAAATGTGAATAAGAATATAAAGACATTTCATTTCAGAATTAGTTAAATGAAAGTTAAAATAGAAAAAGCAATGAAAGCACTTCTAGATACCAGACATGTCCACAAAAAAACTTTTACCCAAATATTCATCTTAGCATTTTTCATGACAACATTATCCAGTAACTGAAGAATGGATAAATAAAATGTGGTATATCCACATAATGGAATATTATTCAGCAGCAAAAAAGAATGGAGTTTTGATACATGCTACAACATAAATGACTCTTGAAAACATCATGCTGAGTGCAAGAAGCCAGTCACAAAAGGCCACATATCACATGATTCCACTTGTATGAAATGTCCGGAAGAGGCAAATCCACAGGAGCAGAAAATGGCTTAGTGCTAGTTAGTATGAGCTGCCAGAGCCTGGTGGAAAGAAAATTAGGGAGTTTTGGGACCCTTGGGTGGCTCAGTAGTTGAGCATCTGCCTTTATTCAGCTCAGGTCATGATCCAGAAACCTGGGATCAAGTCCCACATCGGGCTCCTGTGGGAAGCCTGCTTCTCCCTCTGCCTGTGTCTCTGCCTCTGTGTCTCTCATGAATAAATAAAATATTTTTTAAAAAGAAATAAAGAAATAAAAAGAAAACCAAAAACCGCAAATGTATTTGATGGTTAAATATGTGAGTGATACATCATAGAGATCCTCACTCATGGTCTCATAAATTGAAGTTTATGTCTCAAACTTGAACACAGTAAGTATGAGTCATATTCCTTTCTTTTTTAAAGATTTTATATTTTAAGTACTCTCTACACCAAAGGTGGGACTTGAACCCACAACTTTAAATTAAGAGTCACACACTCTCCCGACTGAGCCATCTGGGTGCCCTAAGTCATGGTTCTTTTGATGTGTTATTTATATATACAAAATATTTTTTCTTACATACCAATTATCACACACACGCCAAAGTTCAAATAGCTCAAGATAACATTTTTAAGGTCTAGGGAACATCACAGAATCTATTTTGTCAACAGAGAGAAGTAGAATTGTTTATCCTTGGCTCAAGGGGAAAAAAAGAATAAATGGAACTTTTATTTTTTCAAAGATTTTATTTATTAATTCATGAGAGACACAGGAGAGAGAGAGAGAGAGGCAGAGACACAGGCAGAGGGAGAAGCAGGCTCCATGCAGGGAGCCAGATGTGGGACTTGATCCCCAGACTGCAGGATCACGCCCTGGGCTGAAGGCAGGCACCAAACTGCTGAGCCACCCAGGGATCCCCCTAAATGGAACTTTTAAAAAAACAGTGGGGTGCCTGGCTGGCTCAGTCTGCTAAGTTTTAGCTCTTGGCTGAGGCTCAGGTCATGACCTCAGGGTCCTCAGGTCAAACCACATGCTGGACTCTGTGCTCAGCGGGGAGTCTGCTTGAGATTCTCTCCCTCTCCCTCCTTCTCACTCATTCTTTCTTTCTCAAATAAACTTAAAAAAAAAAAAACTATCAAAGCCAAAAGCTGGGGAACTTGGGTGGCTCAGCAATTGAGTGCCTGCCTTTGGCTTAAGGTGTGATTCTGGAGTCCCGGGATCGAGTCCCACATCAGGCTCCCTGCATGGAGTCTGCTTCTCCCTCTGCCTGTGTCTCTGCCTCTCTCTGTGTGTCTCTCATGAATAAATAAATAAAACCTTTAAAAAAAATCTTTAAAAAAAAGCCAAAGGCTTAACAAGTGATGCTGCATTTCCAGGAGAATCTAGATGATCTGCCCCGATGCAAAATACTCTATCATATTTATTAAGCTCACTTTCCAAACGTGTGTATTACCTAAAGTGAGTAAGATTTTCAAATGGCCTTTTATCAAGTGGATTGGGAAGGCAAAAATATCAAAGACACAGAGATGCTATCAGAGCATCACCAGAAGGGGCCTGGAAGGTGTGCGTGGCCAGGAAGCAAGGAACTTTCCATGCACATGAGTCATGAGCCAGAAGCACCATGGCACGTGGGGAAATGAAAGAAGCCTGTTCCATAAAACTATCTCCTCACTTTACAGTTTATTTCCATGACACACAAGCCAGGAATTACATGGGATTTACTTGGCAGGGTTAGTTTTTAATCATTAGAGTAGTATCTGTAAGTCAGATATAAACAAAAGGTAATCTCTTCCCAGAAACATCTGCCTGGTACATTCCTCGGCACATGTCGGCTCTCAGCCTCATCAATTCTCAGAGTCTGGAGCTTCAGCCTCCAGCTTTGGTGACTGAATAAACATCAGACAAAACACAAACACTTTTTAGAAAAATTTAAAGAACATAAAAACAAAACAAGACACAGTAAGGAATAGGGCATTGGGGCATGTCGCTGTGGACGTCTGGAAGGCAGGGGTGTGCGTCCACCCTAACTGCATGTCTGTCCTGAGTCTGTGTTGTCAGGATTTAGAAATGCTAGTGCAATGCTCAAATATGCATGCTGTGTCCACACTCTTGTTAAAATAACCTTGACAGGGCACCTGGGTGGCTCAGTGGTTGAGCTTCTGCCTTTGGCTCAGGTCATGATCCTGGGGTCCTGGGATCAAGTCCCATGTCGGGCTCCCTGCATGGAGCCTGCTTCTCCCTCTGCCTGTGTCTCTGCCTCTTTCTGTGTGTCTCTCATGAGTAAATAATAAAATCTTAAAAAAATAACCTTAACATACTTTAAAATATTTTGGTTCAGTTGTACTACTTCCAGAATTTCCCAATTTCAGTAAGAGTTATCATTTTCATGTCCCACAATTTACAGAATACATTTATTTTATTACAGAATACATTTAGTATTTATTAATACTTCCTATTAAATAGTTTGATGTGACTTTTTAAAGATTAAAGCAGTCAAACCAAAGTAAGTTAACATCTGTGACCTGACGATAATTGGAAAGGCAGGGGAGGCTCTGCTTTCCATATCCCTGGGCTTGAACCGAGGACCTCTTTGCATCAAGCCTTCATCAGTAGCCTCGGTCACTTCTCAGAAGCACACGCTCACGTGCAGTCTGGGCAGCTTTTGAACAAATTGTGGAAATGGCGATTTCTTGACCTTTATACTTGATGTCAACTGACCTGACAATGATAATGTAATGACAATTTATGGGCCATGTACCACATGCCAAGCATGTGACAGATGCAGTACTGATAATCTGACATGATGTGGGTGGAACAATCCTGCCTCTTCTGACACGTGGGAACAATGAACAAGAGAGGTTAATGTTGCCCAACACCACACAGAAGATGGGAAGCTGGAACCCCAACCAGGACATCTGGCTCAGAACCTACACTCCTCACACTACACCACCGCTTAGGACAGAGTGAACTTCCTTTGGCCCAGATGGTAACTTCACTAGTGGGCAACTGCCTAGATGGCCAGATTGTGAGCATGAATGGGCCGTGGCAGACACAGGAGTGTGCAGCACCAGGAGCACTTCAACTCTACCCTTGGCAGTGGTTATTACTGTGGAGAAAGAGAAAGGATTTCAAACACTTTACAGCCAAAGAATTGTTTTTCCCAGTGGAACCTTACCCCGCAGGTAAGTGTCTCAAGCAGGTAAGAGAGGCACGGCTCTAACTACAAGAGGAAAGGAGAAGCCAGAGCCCAGACTCTTCCCAAAAATCCAGTGCTCCACAGGACAACCTGAAAAGCACAGAGACCCAGCAGATCTAATCTCCTGCAGGTAAACACCTTCTGTGTTTCATGTAAGAAATCTTTAGGGAATCACTTGTTAAGCAGTTTGATGGATGCCGTTCTGATGGTGTCAGTCCTTCAGTTGCACTCAGCACCCTCCATCCTCCTAACCTCTGCTCCAAGACAAGGTCCACATCTCCTGGCCCAGCCCTCAAGGGTCCAGGGGTCTGGCCCTATCTTCTTTCCTCGCCTACTTCATGGATTCGTTCTCTAGCTGCATTCAGATGAAACCTGGGTGGTATGCAAGCCTGCTGGGCACCACCATGGTGCCCTGGCACTCCTTCCTGCTTCAAGCACAGAAATCCCCTCCCCCAATTTACATGTTGATGTTTCCTGACAAGAATTTTATTGAAGACCTTCAACTGCTTTAAAAGAAAAAAATTCCGACTTCTCTTCACCAATTACTGCACAGAAATGATGAAAATGACAAACCTAAGTGAAAATATATATGGAAATGTGGAGGCAATAACCTGAGCAATTCTGGAGAAAAGGATTAACGAAGCCAGACACCAAGGACACCAGCTACTCAATCTTTTCATAAAGTCACAGTAACTGAGACAACGTGCAGCTGGTCCCACACACGAGTGCAGTGCACGAGCACAACACAGTAGTGAGACCAGATACAGTTGCCTGACTTCGTTTCTAAATGCCACTGCAGGGATGACTGGGTGGCTCAGCGGTCGGGCATCTGCCTTTGGCTCACAGGATCCAGAATTGAGTCCTGCATTGCGCTCCCTGTGGGAAGGCTGCTTCTCCCTCTATGTCTCTGCCTCTGTGTGTGTGTGTGTGTGTCTCATGAATAAATAAATAAATAAATCTTTAAATTTTTTTTTTAATTTATTTATGATAGAGAGAGAGAGGCAGAGACACAGGCAGAGGGAGAAGCAGGCTCCATGCACCGGGAGCCCGACGTGGGATTCGATCCGGGGTCTCCAGGATCACGCCCTGGGCCAAAGGCAGGCGCCAAACCGCTGCGCCACCCAGGGATCCCAATAAATAAATCTTTAAAAGAATAAATGCCACTGCAGCTCTGGGGTGAGAAATGGTCCTATCAACATGTAGTGCTAGCTTAACTACAGACAACACGCTGAGGTCACCAGAGGGGAGCAGGAGGACAGGTGACAGGGATGAAAGAACACACCTGTCATGAGGAGCATCAGGTGATGTAGGGAAGTGCTGAGTCACTAAATTCACGCTGTATGTTGACTGGAACTTAAATAAAACATTTTTTAATTAAGATTTTATTTATTCATGAAAGACAGAGAGAAAGGCAGAGACATAGGCAGAGGGAGAAGCAGGCTCCCTGCATAGAGCCCAATGTGGTACTTACTTGATCTCAGGACCCCGGGATCATGCCCTGAGCTGAAGGCAGATGCTCAACCATTAAGCCACCCAGGTGCCCTTAAACTTTTTTTTAAAACTGATACTATGTGTTGGGAAGAATGTAGAATAACTGTAAATTTCATGCAAGTTGGTGTGTAAATTGATCTACTTTAGAAAATGTTTGGGCTGGGATGCCTGGGTGGCTCAGCAGTTTAGTGTCTGCCTTTGGCTTAGAGTGTGATTGAGTTCCACATCGGGCTCCCTGCATGGAGCCTGCTTCTCCCTCTGCCTGTGTCTGTGCCTCTCTCACTCTGTGTCTCTCATGAATAAATAAATAAAATCTTTTAAAAAAGAAATGTTTGGGCCATATCTAGTAAAACAAGTTTACTTACATGCTATGACTGAGCACCTCCAATGCTGTGTATATTTCCAAAAGGAATAAGTGTGAGTTCATCAAAAAACATACCCAAGATGTTCATAACTACTTTCAGAATAGCCTCAAACCGTAAACAACCAGAAAGGATCAGTGGTGACATAGTAATGAAATGCAACAATCAACAATGAACAATAATGCATATCTCCTTCCTCAACTTATAATAGTATTATACCCCAACAGACTCATTTTAAATTGAAAACATCATAAGTCAAACATGCATTTACTCCACCTAACCTACTGAATATCATAGCTCAGGCTAGCCTACCTTAACCGTGCTCAGAACACTTATGTTAGCCTACAACTGAGTGAATGCATTTAACAGCCTATTTTATAAAGAACTGCTGAATATCTCATACAAACTGTTAAACATTATACTGAAAGTGAAACGAGTGGTTGTATGGGTACAGAGTGGTGGTGAGTTTATGGGCTCCTGACCCTCGAGCTCACTCGGTTGACCAGCTGTGGACGAAGCCTCTGCCCAGCAACATAAGAGGATCAGCCCAGGAAAAAGATCAAAACTCAAAATTCCAAGTAGTTTCTACTGAACATGTATTGCTCCTGCACCCTCGTAAAGCTGAAAAACCGTTAATTCGAACCACTGTAAGTCCAGCTACACTGCTATTAGACAAAACAACAAAAACTATAGATACAAAAGTTAATTTTCAGTAGAAAATAGGGAGTATATATATATATATATATAAAAAAGAAAAGACAATAGGAAGTATATGTTTCAGGGCGCCTGGCTGGCTCAGTTGCTAAAGTGATAGGATTCTAATCCCAGAGTTCTGAGTTCAAGCTCCACATTGGTTAGAGACATTACTTAAAAACAAAATCCTTACATATCTATAAAAATAAATAAGCATGCTTGTATCATCCAGCACTCTTTATTAGAGCATGCATGGGAAAAAAATCTTTTAGGGGTGCCTGGGTGGATGGTAAAAGAGAAGTTTTCCAACTAGTCATACAGACATGTGTCTTCCAAAATAAACCTAATTAATTCAAAATACTTTCTTCAGAAATGTTTCAGCCATGAAGCTTATCTAGAAATCTGAGACAGCAGGTTTGAAACGAGGAAATCAATGCACGCGGAGTAATCACGGCTAGCAGGGCACTTCCGCACTCCTCTGCCTCAACCTCCCCAGACCCGTGGGCGGGGAGGAGCAGGCGGCGCAGCAGCGGGAGGGGCGGGTCCCCCCGGCCCCGCCTCGCAAGGCCCCGCCCCGGCCCGAGCCCGCGGCCCCGCCCCCGCCCCGCCCCCGCCCGAGCCCCCGGCCCCGCCCCCGCCCCGAGCCCGCGGCCCCGCCCCCGCCCGAGCCCGCGGCCCCGCCCCCGCCCCGAGCCCGCGGCCCCGCCCCCGCCCCCGCCCCCGCCCCGAGCCCCCGGCCCCGCCCCCGGCCCGAGCCCGCGGCCCCGCCCCCGGCCCCGCCCCCGCCGCGCCGCGGGGACGCCTGGCCTCCGCGTCTCCATGGAGACGGGCCCGCTCCGGCCGAGCGACGTTGGCGATGGCGGCCGGGGAGCCGGGGGACTTGGACGGCTACTGCTTCAGATACCTGCCTCAGAAAACCTTCCAGTGTCTGAGCGCCCCAGACACCGCCAGCCGGCTCCGCCAGTGGTAGGACCCGGGGCGGCGCAGGGCGAGGCCCGGCGGGGCTTGGGGCCGCGGGAGGGGGCCGGGGAGCGCCCTGCAGCCCGCCCCGCCCCGCCCCGCCCCGCGCTGACCCCTCCCCTCCCGCCGCAGGTCGATGCTGGGCCGAGTCGCGGCGCAGGCGTTCGGCTTCGACCAGACGTTCCAGGCGCACCGCAGGGACGACTTCCTCACGGTTGGTGGAAGGGCGGGGGCGGCGGGCGGCGGGGGAGCGGCTGCCTGCTGGGACCTGCGGCGCCCCGGGCGGGGTCAGGGGCCGCGGGGACCAGGCAGCAGGACGGCTGCCCTGACCAGCATCAGGCCATCCCCCGCAGAGGGATGAGAAGGGCAGCCTGGTGGCCACTGCGGCGCGCTTCCTTCCCCAGTAGCACGGCGCCCCGGCCGGGACGCCCCGAAAGGCGGGAAGCGGGGTGTCCGGTGGTGCTGCAGCCTGCGGGTCCGAAATCCAGCTGTCAGCGGGGGCCTGCTCTTCCCCCTGCCTGGCGGCTGCTTGCCCCCGGGGCGCAGGTGCTGGTGGTCCCTGGGTGATGCTGGGTGCAGGTCCCCGGGACGCAGGTGCTGCTGCTGGTTCCTGGTCGCAGGTGCACACGGTGGACTCTCCCTTGGTCAGACCCCAGGGTGCCATGGCCGCCTCTGCTCTTCTTACAACACCGGCCATGGAATGAAGGACTACCCCCCCACACACACACACACCCTTTTTCTCAAGTATAACCTCTCAACTAATTATATCTCAACGATCTGCTTTCCAAATAAGGTGACTTGCTGAGGGTCCAGGAAAGACACAGATGAGGGGATGGTGACGCGCACTTTTCAACCCTTAAAAGAGGGTAAATTGGTTAAATATGTTTCCCTTTCCTTAAAATAGCATTATAATAGTAATAGAATATAGTGCTCTTATGAGGCTACTGATGATCACATGACATTTTCAAATAATCATGGTTTAATTTTCTTGATATTTATATTTTTCATTCATACCAGCATTGGCTTTCAAATTGATAGAAATTTTTTAAGCCAAGATTTTAATTCACTGAGTTAAAGTACTGCAAAAATTTTAATATAAATCATCTATTCAGTAAATATTTGTCAAATATTTACCACATCCCTCCTGGAGGATGTTGAAAAGATGAAGAGACCTGATCCCAGCTTGCAAGGCATGTAGAGTTCTGGAAGTTAGAAATGTAAAAACTTCTCTACAACACAGTAAAATAATTGCTGTAATGGAGGATAGCTAAGGTGACTTAGGCACAGAAAGATCACCCAGTGCAGGGGCATTGAGGTCAGGAAAAATGCATGGAGGAGGGTGTAAAATTAGTGTAGGTTGTTCCAGAGACAGAATTCTTCAGGATATTCAAGATTCATCCGTGAAGCACAACAGATTTTCATAATGCTAGACAATTCTTTTTTCTAAATTTCAAGATCTTCATGCTTACTTATAAATATTCCCATATTTCAGTTCAAAGGAATGCCCTTATAGAATCATTGATTTTACTCCTATAACTAATTTGGAGGACAGAAAGCATTAGAGCTCCAACTGTGGCCCAGACAGGGATTTACTTTGCAGCTAATGAACCTATAAGCTGATGGCCATGCAAACCCAGATTCTCCCCTGATTTGGCCTCCGGTCAGTGTCATGTTCCAGTTCTACCACTGCCACCAAGCTGTATGACATTGAGCACATGACTTTGCCACTTCCTCAGCTTCCACTTACTTTTCTGCAAAATGATGACAGTGCTTGGCATGGAAGTATTCTTGAAAATGAAAATAATGCTGACTATCTGATTGATTATTAAGGTCAAAGGAAATTGGGGTATCCGGCTGGCTCAGTCGATAGAAGGTTGCAACTCTTGATATTGGGACTATGAGTTCAAGCCCCATGTGGGACGTAGAAATGACTTGAAAATAAAATATTTTAAAAAAAGGATTAAAGGAAATAATATAATATTTAGCAAAAATGGTTGGCTCATGATGAGTAATGTTATAGTTATTAATATTTGCATACTACTTTACAAAGTCCTTTTCTATAGTAGTAGTGGATTCTTGTGTGCCACATTTAGCTTTCAGCACCTCATTTATATACATCTGTCACTAATGTTTACAACAAGCTGGTAAATTTGGTGTCTTGAGCCTCATTTTACAGCTTAAGGAATGGAAGCTCAAAATGGTTACATAATTTGTGCAAGAATGCCCAGCAAATGGTAAGAGCCAGAGGCCTTTTGACACAAACTTCCATGTCATTTCTACTCCAAACACTCATAACTGAACAGAGGGTATTGCTTAAAACTAGAATTCCAGATTTTAAAATTTCCTTTTCAATTTTAAAAACAAATTATGTTCCAAAAGTTCATTTGCGAGAGAAAAAATAGATGGAAGGAAAGAACCATTACCTTGGCAAGCATTTCTGTAGTCCCTAGATCTGTCCAGATGAACAAGACACCATCAGAGAGAAACCGTCCCAAACTTGCACTGCAAAACGGGAAGTCCTGTGACATTTGCCATGTGCGCAAGGTACTGAGCTGGCGCAGGAGAGAAAACCATCTCTTTCTTTTTCATTTTTGTTTTCTTTTTCTTTTTAATTGAGGTGGTCAGAGGAGGGTTTACAAAAGACAAGCTACTTGAGGTTGGCCCTGAGGAATAAGGAGGAGTTTGCCAGGTAGACACAGTGCAGGGAGAACATTAGGTGGGTGGGAGGGTATTTCAGACCTTTTGTGCCACTTGAGAGTTTGGGCTCTCTAGCTCAGGAAGAGTCACTGTGAGGCTTTCGGGAAGACAGTAACATTTAAAATATTGAGGTTCCCTTGGCAGAATATGAAGAGTAGGTTGTTAGAAAGCGGGCTGGAAACTCTTGTCCTCCGGACATTGTAGGGTACACCGAGTTCAGACCGCTGCCCCAGGATGGCCTGAAGCAATGTTTGGGAGAAAGGCAGTGCTCTAGGACTGACAGGACACTGAGAACAAGGCAGAGGAGGACGTGCAGGAGGAGCGTTTCTGATTTGGTTGACACAGTGGTCGTTGACGCCATTAAAGCCACAGAAAATGCAAAACAATAAACAAAGGAAATGAGTTTAGTTTCAGGCATTCTAAACTTGAAGTGCATCCAAGTGGCAATCCCCTAGATTGTTGAATCTAAGCTCTTGCTTCGAGTCTCAAAAGAGAGCCCTGGGCTCTACCCTCCCCCTGGGACTAAGGGTAAGGAGGGCAGTCTTCTGCATAACGTGCAAGGAAGCAGCTTAGAGTGCTTTCTACAGGTCTGCACCACATGTCTGCTCACACATCACAGCCTCGCGCCACGAGGACTGGAAGGCGCATACGTTGAGCCAAGCACATTGTTGTCCCAAATAAAATTGCATTCCTTAAGGAAGAGGAGAACTGATACTGGATCAAAAACCAGCAGTCTAGGGGCTCCTGGCTGGCTCAGTTGGTAGAGCACATAACTCTTGATCTCAAGGTTGTAAGTTAGAGCCCCACATTGGGTAGAGAGATGACTTAAAAATAAAACCTTTAAAAACTAAATTAAACCCAGCAGTCTGCCAGATAGGTGAAATTAGTCAGATATCATGTGTGGCATATATTAGACATACATTTAAAATTCTATATTATATAAAATAGTATGTTAATTTAGAAATACTTTCCCACTCTCACATTTTGTGAAACGAGTTTATTCTAATTTTACGTATAGTTTGACATCAGTGTCTTTATCAGTGTGACTTGTTTGTGAATCATCTACTATATTTCCAGAGCACATCAGCAGCCCTAAAGCTGAGATATAGACAATCCCTTCTAATGCCTCACTGGAAATACTATAAGAAACCCAAAATATCATTTGCATATATTAGGGCAGGGCTTTTTAAAAGTGTTGTGTTTTGTTTTTATTCTTTAGGTGTATAATTAACCTCAACAACATAACAACTCTTATGTTGCTTTATTTGAAGGGCCTTTATGAAGACTTCTTTCCATTGGCTCTGTCAATTCACTGCAGGTCACTTAGATTACTTCCATTTGTAGTGGCCTATAGAATTCAATAATTTGATAATAAAAGATTTGAGTTGATACTCTTCCCCCCAGGAAAAATGACTATATATGAATTTAATTTTCCCCTTTACTGAATTTTGCAGAAGACATCTAAAAAGCATTCAAAACCAGTATTAATTAAGATTAATTCCAGCTTATGTTTCTTTTTAAAAATTCAGGTAATTGCACACTCTTTAGCTTGAAAGAGTGTATTAAGTTATAAGACAACTTGCTTTTTTTTTTTTTGAGGAATAGTCTTAGGGAAAGTAATTGGGCATACATGATACCTGTAAAATGTTTACCTGTATCCCTGCATCACTAGAATGTAAACTCCATGGAAACAGGGATTTTTGCTTGGCATCATATAGGCATTCACAGATACCTGCAGATTATATTTGTCTTCACTCTACACACCTGGTCCTCTTCACTGCTCCCTTTCTCATTATGTGACACTCATGCAGAAGTTCAGGGGTCATCTGTGGTTCCTTCTCTCTCTGTCTGCTTCTTCTAAGGAGTCATTGGATCCATTCACTTCTCTGCCTCCCCCTGCTATTGCGTAGATAACTACATGAGCATCAGATCTTTTTGGATTACAGCAGTGCCTTCCCTCCTCACCATCCTCTTAATAGCTCCTCAGCTCATTCTCCACATTGCTGCCAGAATGAACTGTAAAAATACAGGGCTAGTCACATCTTTCCTTGTTTAGATCGCCTTGGTGTCTTCCTATTACCCTTTGATTGAATACTCATCAGTCTAGATCAGTATTACATCAAGATCAAATTTTGTGACTTGACCTATAAGATCAATAGTTTAAAACCTAGTAAACAAAGATTCCTAAAAGTTGAGCAGTCAGGCTGTCCTGATCATGACACTAAAAAAAAACTGTTTTTAGGTGGAGAAATTAGCAAGTTTAAAGTCTGAGAAACAAGACCCATTCAAGGAAACTAAGAGGCTCAGTGTGACCAGAACTGAATGAGCAGAATGAGAGGTCAAATGTTCCATTTTCTGGGTGCCCCTTGGGTAGAATTCAGTTGCTAATGACTTTGAGAGTTAGATCTAGTTGAGGAGATGGGAGTAGCCATTACTAAAATAATTGCTTGGGAAAGTAAGATTGAAGGAAATCAAAGTTTTCAAATATATAACCGCCTACTTTTCACTAGAAATCATTATTTTCTATTTATGAAGCCCTCAAAGATATCCATAGTACAGTGTTGTTCATACTTGAAGTTAACAAAACTTCATCTCTTTATAAAACATTTATTAGATGGACGCCTGGGTGACTCAGTGGGTGAGCATCTGCCTTCAGCTCAGGTCATGATTCTGGGGTCCTGGGTTCGAGCCTCCCCACCCCCTTGGGCTCCCTGCTCAGTGAGGGGGTCTCCGTCTCCTTGTCCCTCTGCCCCTCCCATGCTCATGCTTGCTCCTTTTCTGTCTATTAAGGAGAAAAAAAAAACCAAAACATTTATTAGGCATTTTATCCATTTAAAATTGTCCCTCCCCAATTTGAGTTAAATGAAATTTTACTATAATTGTTTTAGAAGTTAATTCTTACTATTGTTTATAATGAAGTCTCTAACTAACTCCCTTCAAATTTGTATTTTAGGCTTTTTTCAAAGACCCAAATGTTATTCCCAATTTGAAGTTACTTTCAGATTCTTCTGGACAGTGGATCACATTAGGTAAATAAAATTTATTGTCATCTTTTCAAATGACTGTTTTATTATTGTGACAAAATTTTACTTTAGGAATTTTCATTATTCAAAGTTTTTTTTTTTTAATTTTTATTTATTTATGATAGTCACAGAGAGAGAGAGAGAGGCAGAGACACAGGCAGAGGGAGAAGCAGGCTCCATGCACCGGGAGCCCGACGTGGGATTCGATCCTGGGTCTCCAGGATCGTGCCCTGGGCCAAAGGCTGGCGCCAAACCGCTGCGCCACCCAGGGATCCCAATTTTCATTATTCAAATACACATTGTGAATCATGACTGGCTGGTATGATCATGTCAGAAGATCACGCCAAGCCATGCCCAGTCTGGCCTGCATTTCTCTCCTAGGAGCCCACTGCTCCAATCATGGCGCAGCACACAAGATCACTTGTTTTCTCTCTTCATTCATTTGGAAAGTATGTCTTGCACACCTTCCATGGACTCTGCTAGATGCAGGGAACAGTGAGGTGAATACAAGAAAATGAGTATTCAAGAAACTGGCTGACATGTAAAAAAAATAGCACAATAATGTACTACCCCAGCAGCAGGAGCAGAGGGAGGAGAGTGTCATGGAAGGTTCCACTGATGTGAGAGCGTTTAGGCAAAATCAGTTGGGACGGGCAATGGACTTCTGACCAAGGAAGCAGCCACCATGGAATGTTCATAAAATCATATATAAAATCATGGAAGAGAGTCTTAAGTTCTGAAAAAGAGAACTTTATATACATAATAATTTCATATTACAGTGAAACATAGCTGGAAATCTTTTTTTTATTAAATAATTTTTAAAAATAATTTATTTATTCATGAGAGACAGAGAAAGAGAGGGAGAGAGAGGAGAGACACAGGCAGAGGGAGAAACAGGCCCCATGCAGGGAGCCCGATATGGGACTCAATCCCGGGCCTCCAGGATCACGCCCTGAGCTGAAGGCGGCGCTAAACTGCTGAGCCACTGGGGCTGCCCAGCTAGAAATCTTTTTAAAGAAAATTACCCAGGGCCCTTGGATGGCTCCATCAGTGAAGCATCTGCCTTCGGCTCAGGTCATGATCCTAGGGTCCTGGGATTGAGTCCCACGGGCTCCCTGCTCTTTATAAAACATCTATTAGATGGATGCCTGGGTGGCTCAGTGGGTAAGTGTCTGCCTTCAGCTCAGGTCACAATCAGGGGTCCTGGGATCAAGCCCCCCCACTGGAGTCTCTCCTTCTGCCCCTCTCCCTGCTTGTGCTCTCTCTTTCTCCTTCTCTCTCTGTCAAATTAATAACATATTAAAATAAATAAATAAATAAATAAATAAATAAATAAATAAATAAATAAATAAATAAGTTAGATGGGGTTGTTTTGGTAATTTGTACATTGTGTGTTCATGGAATTCTAGTTGTCTTACATAAACAGTTCATGATCTTAGAATTAATAGGGTACATTTTACTGCTTTTGACTAAAGACCACTGCAAAATTTATAAAGCAAAAAAAGCTGGTACAGTGTGATCTTACAAAGTTAAACTATGTGAGCAAATGTACTTACCAGCTCAAAATCTTCAAAAGGAAATAATCAGAGGCATGTATCATAGTGTTTATAAAACATGTTTACAGTAACTTCAGTCAATTCATTTATAAAAAAAAGTTGAACTTTCCCCTGTATCAGTACATACTCCCCAAAACAGTACTGACTTTTTTCTGATTTTTAAATAAGGCATTGCAAAAAGAGAGGTTCCAGAATTCCACATGTGCCCAGGAGAACCAATTAGAAGTACTCTGCAAAATGAGGCAGGAGAGGTCGCACTCCATTTCAGAGGCAGAAGTTTCCAGTGGTTTGCTCATATTCTTCCATTAGCTTGTTCTTTATCTCCTTCTGCCAGCTTTTCTTTTTCTGATACATCAACCATCTTCCCTCTTTTTCCTCTGGAAGCCTTTATCAGCAAAGTAAACACTATTTAAAATGAGAGAAAAGACATTCTTCTAACAGGTGAACCAGTTTGGAAGATTGCAATGAAAGCACCTCTGTCACAGCTGGCTGTAGCCCCTGGACTGCTGGTTGTTGGGGCTGTTCTGTCGCCTCCACCAGCGGCACGGCCCTCATTACAGAGACATGCTGCGTACTTTTCTGGTTGACGTACCAGGTTTGCTTCTTTTGTGCTTAGTTAAGGGCATTACATTCATTACCTCCTTTAATTCTCAAATGACTCAGAGACATGTTATTATATATCCCTGTTTCACAAAGGAAGAGTTAGATTCGTGAGCTAAGTAATTTGCACAGTTTTACACAGCTGGCTGGGCTCAGCAGACTTGAGATTCGAGTCCGGGCTCCAGAATTCAAGACCCCCACCTCTCCACTATCCTGCCTCTGCCATTTCAGCTTTAATGGGGTTGTCAGAAAAGTGCCAACTTGGGCAAGCAAATAAATAGGAGACACCTTGTATATTTTAATGCTAGTATCAAGGGGGATAATACATTCTTTGTAAGTGATCATAGTAGTGCGGTACGTATCCTGTAAATGCTGGAGACATAGGTTTACCGTATTTCTACATAATAGCACATGCTATGGGTTGACTTGTGTCCCTCCCAAATTCTTATGTTGAAGCTTTAACCCCCAAAGTCTTACTCCCAATGATGAGGCCTTTGGGAAACAATCAGGTTTAGGTGACATCGTGAGGGGCCCTCAAGCCAGGGTTCTCAAGTGTGTGTGGACACTACCAAGAAGGCAGCATCTGCGAGTCAGGAAAAGAACCTTCACAAGGAACCAGATCAGCTGGCACCCGGGGTCCTGGGCCTCCCAGCCTCCAGAGCTATGGGAAATGCGTGTCTTTTGTTTAAACCACCCAGTTTCGGGTACTTGGTGATAGCAGCCCAAGCGGACGAATAAAGATGTTGGTACAGAGATGTGGAGTGTGTCTGTAACAGGCCTGGAGATGTGGAAGGGGCCTTGAAACTGCGCCGTGGGTATTTGCCAGGAGAGAGTTGTGCGTCCTAGCCCCGTCCTGGATGGTAAGTTGAGTCTGATGAGGTTGCCTCCAGATACCTGGGCTTTGTGAGCAGCAGCTGGAGGAAAGACAAGCCGTGAGAGGGTAGAGAAGTTGGCTAATGAGGTCATGTTTTGTGGAAGGTGATAAAACTGTCTGTGCAGCCGGGAGGGTCTAAAGCAGGTGTTGCCTGCCTGGGTCTTCCCAGATGTTCATAAGGAAGGAAGGAAAGAGATGGATTGAAGAAGGAATTGTGAAGGAGGAGCCAGAGCTCAAAGATCTGGAATATTCCCAGCCTCTTCATATTGTAAAAAAACGAGAAAAATTCGTCTGAAGAGAACAAACATGGCTGAGCCACCACTTGGTCCAGAGAACGTGTGTGAGTCGGACCCAGGTGGCTATGTCAGCAGAAGCTGGGTGGAGGTGTGGTGGTGGTAACAGAGACCCTGTGGGATTGAGCTGTGGGGGTGGGGACAGACATGGACATGAGAGCCGTCGGGCTGCAGGAGGACAGCAGACTGAATGGCCCCTCAGGTCATCAGGCACCCTGGGCTGCAGGAACACGGAGGCTGGGCCACGACCTCAGTGGCTCAGGGAGGCAGAGCAGAGAACCAACGAGGCTGAAAGTCTAATGAAATTTGCCTTTCCCGAGTCTCAGGCTTGCTTGGGACCATCAGCCCTTCTTTTCTGCTTCCCCCATTTGGAATGGAAATGTTTCTTCCATCTCTCCCCATAATGTTCTGAAAGCATGTAACTTGTCTGGTTTCACAGGTTCATAGCCAGAGAGGAATTTTGCCCCGGGATGAATTGTACCTCCAATCTCACCCATATCTGATTGAAGTGACAGGGAGGTGATACTTGGGAGTCTGGACTCTAGTGTTGGCGCTATGATGAGATGACCCTTTGGGGGCTGTTCGGGGAGCGTAAGTATGTTTGCACAAGAAGAAGACACAAATTGACAGGGAGCCAGGGGAGAGTGCTATGGATTGAATGGTGTCCCTTCAGAATTCATTTGATGAAGCCCTGAGCCCACCCAAAGCCACCAGCTCAAAAATACCATTACATCCAGGGCTTGGGACGTCAATATATTAATTTTGGAGGGACATGATTCAGTTCAGAGCAAATGCTGTTTCCGTGCCTCAGATTTAAGTGGTTTGGATTTCATTACCTTTTCTCACCATCCAAACCATCCTGCCACGCCCCATGTCAGAGCTAGGGTAGGCTTACTAAGTAGGCATGTCGCCAAGCGGTCTGGGGACAAGCCGGCCCCATTCTGCTCCTGCTTGCAGGTGGTGTGGGGGCTCAGACCCACCCTGTCATGTTCTGCAGTATTCCCTGCCCCAATCCCCCAGAGGGCTTTCCTCCTGAAACAAAAGGAGATTTTCTTAGCAGCAGAACTCTTGAAATTGCTGAAACAGATGCAGTTCCTGTCTCCAGACACCCATCATAGCCCCCCCTCCACGCCCCACTGAGGACCAGACGACAGCCGTGGGTCCTAGCAGGACTCTGGGAGGACAGCCTGAGGAGAAAGTACGGCTACTCGCCAGTGTTACTCTTCTCAGACTCAGGCTATTTCTCCCCCGTATCCAGGAGAGGGGTCACCAAGGGCTATCCGGCCAGCCCTGGGGAAGGGGTGTAGTGGGGACAACACGGAAGAACAGCAGCCCTTAGATTTATGTGTGTGGGGGCGGTGCACACAACAGAGAGAAATTGAATGATTCATTGAGGCAACAATAAAGATAGTCATGTCAATCCTTGTGTCTTTCCGTCATTAATTAGAACCTTTTGTAATGGAAAGTCTGTTCCTCAAGGACACATCCTGGCTATAAGTTAGGTCTGAGGAAAAGAACCAGAGCTACCAGAGGAAGAGAGAAAAGACACTGTGCTTGTGAATGTCTCTAATTCCAGGCTTGTGAGGACTTGATCAGGGCCTGCTTTGAGACTCACCTTGACTGGGAAAGCTGTTTTTCATAATAAACATTGTAAATGAGATCACAAGAGAGAAATTTTTAAATGGAGAGATAAACTTTCAAGACATCCTCAGTACTTTAGAAACACCCATTATTATGTACGTTAATTAAAGTTTTTGTAATATGAATTATAAGGCATTGAACATAATACAAATCCAAAATCATCTCACAAAGTCGTTCCTATGCTTTTATAGGCAACTCTGACATAGAGATTAAAGCTGATAGAACACCTCTGACACAAAAAAATGTATTTCATTTTCAAGCATTTTCAAATTTATATATCCTTCATCTCGGTCTGAAACGGTGAAATTTTGTGACAGACTTTTAATGATTAATAAAAATAAGCAAACTGCAAAATAAGAATCTAATAAAATCCCTAAAATGGTCTTTTAAATATATCAAGATGTATGTCATATGTGGCTACTTAGAATCTCTGCATGATGGTACTTGTTTTGGAAATAATTGAGAATACTAAGTGAACTTTTATATCTCTGTAAAATAATTTTTACAGGAGCTGAAGTGAAAAAAATTGAAGCTACAAATGTTCCTTGTACACAGCTTTCAATGTCATTTTTTAATCGGTTGTATGATGAAGATATTGTACGAGCCAATGGACATATTATTAAATGTTTAGATTCTTTTTGTGATTCCTTTCCTATTTCTGATGAGTTACGAAAAGTAAGTACAGATTTTTAAAATTTCACTAATAGCATTTTACTTCAAGAAATGGTTAATGTCAAAAATATTTTGCCTGCCTAAAATACATAAAATACCTTTTATCAATGAATAATGATCAGCAATAGTCATTACATTGGTAGTTTTTTTTCTTGGATGGGACTTTTAATATCAAATTAATTATTTGTATATTTCAGTTTTTCAGCCAGATGCTACTGACAGTAATGTGTGCAGGCCAGAGTTGCTGCTAAACATGCAATATGCAGGACAACTTCCCCAACAAGATTATCTGGCCCAGAGTGTCAGTGGTGCTAGGGTAGAGAAACCCCAACCTGCTCAATTTTTCTTCAATATGAGGCTCTTAACATATCAAATGAATATTTTAAAATATCCCTGTGAGGGCAGCCTGGGTGGCTCAGCGGTTTGGCACTGCCTTTGGCCCAGGGCGTGATCCTGGAGTCCCAGGATCCAGTCCCACGTCAGGCTCCCTGCATGGAGCCTGCTTCTCCCTCTGCCTGGGTCCCTGCCTCTCTCTCTCTTTCTCTTTCTCTCTCTCTCTGTGTCTCTCATGAATAAATAAATAAATTTTTTTTTAAAAAATAAATAAAATATCTCTGATAAAAATCTTTTTATATCACTGCTGAGATTTTAAAAAAGCCATTTGATTAACTCATTTTTGTTTTATTGAGGAGTGTATTAAACTTGAATCAGAAGACATAGATTATTTACCTAATTCCTGAGTTATTTATAAGATAATCACTTTAGACAAATGACTCAATATCTAGAGTCCCAAGATTACTTATCTGTACAACATAGAGATTAAAATGCCTATTACTTATTTATGAGAAGTGGGTGGAATGCCTGGGTGGCTCAGTCGGTTGAGCATCTGACTCGGTTTCAGCTCAGGTGATCTCTGGTTCGTGAGATCAAGACCCATGTCAGGCTCTGTGCCCAACAGGGAATCTGCTTGGGATCCTCTCTCTCTGTCTCCCTCTGCCCCTCCCCACGTTCATAAATAAATCTCTTAAAAATGCCCATTTGAGGTGCCTGGCTGGCTCAGTCAGAAGAGCCTGTGACTCTTGATCTCAGGGTCATGAGTTTGAGCTCCATGTTGGGTGCAGAGATTACTTAAATAAATTTAAAAATCAGGATGCCTGGGTGGCTCAGCAGTTGAGCATCTGCCTTCGGCCCAGGGCATGATCCTGGAGTCCCCAGATCGAGTCCTACATCAGGCTCCCTGCATGGAGCCTGCTGCTCTCTCTGCCTGTGTCTCTGCCTCTCTTTCCCTGTGTCTCTCAATGAATGAATGAATGAATGAATGAATGAAATCTAAAAAAAAGATAAATTTAAAAATAATAATAAAATAAAAATACCCAGTCTATCTTTTTCAAATTGTTGAGGTAATGAGTTCAGGAAGCATTTAAATGCACTTTTTAAAAAATATGAAATGTTAAAATGAAATGTATTATTATCATTGTTTTAATTATGGAGAAAGACTATTTGCAAAGTGGTTAAAACTAGGGCTTTTTTTAATTGGTTTATTTAGAGAGAAAGAGCAAGCGAGCATGAGCAAGGGAGCAGCAGAGGGAAAGGGAGCGGGAGACTTCCCATTGAGCTGGGAAGCCCTATGTGGAACTCGATCTCAGGACCTGGGATCATGACCTGAGTCAAAGGCAAACGCTTAACCACTGAGCCACCCAGGGACCCCCAAAATTCAGCTTTGGTATTGAATAGACATAGGCTCAAATCTAGGCTCTGTTACTTAATGACTGATACTTGACCTCTCTTTATAAAATAGGAATGATGTAAGAATTATGTGAGATAATGCATTCAGAGTACCTAGCTCATGCCTGGCACTTAGTAAGGTTCCAGGAATGTTAACGACTTCTATTAATTCCTAATATTATCCTACATCAAGAAGGGAGATAACAGAAGTCTAATTTATTGCAAATCCAGGAATGTCATCTGTAGGGACTAGAAGGCCTCCGGCCAGTCTGTGTTCACCTACATTAGTAGAACACCTAAAAGAACACTTAGTTGAAGAAAAAACTAAAATTAAGTCATTGAGAATAACCAAAACATAATTGAAGAGATTATGTATAGTTGCTCTTCAGTTTAGTGACGGTATATTTACGTATGACAGAAGATAATGTATGTGCTACCAAGCGAGAACCTGATGATGATTTCTACTCTTCCTTCCCAAGGACTGGAAAGTCACCCTTAGAAAGTGCCTCTGGGCTAGTCTGGGCGTCCTCCCCTGTGGGCAGTGGGGCAGCTGTCTCTGTCCCTGAGCACCGATGGCCCGCCAGTCTTTGCCTCAGGGCTCCCAGCCCCAGTTGCAGAGAGCTCATCACCCCTGGGGCAGAGACCCTGACCTGCCCAGGGCCCCAGAGGCGGGTGTGACCTGCCTAGCTGCCCGCCTGTTCATTTCCACGAGCAGCACCTCAGAAGGAGTGCTGGGCCCCTGATTTTCTGGCTCACTCATGCTCTCATGCTCTTTGCTGCTCTGCAGCAATAGGGGAGGAGGTTTTAACTTGGTTGCTTTCTGGCTGAAAGAAAATAAATGACCTCCAGCTTTCACCTGAACCGCAAAGCACAGATTCTGTTGGCAGAGTGTGTATTGTAAGGGCCAATTATCAACCTCCTTCCCAGCTTGGCTTCCAGGCTCCGCAGCCTGCCTCTTTAACCAGTGCAGGGCTGTTCCCTGGGGCTAGACCCTGACCGCCCCATGTGAGTGAGTGCATGGGCATTAGCCACACTGGAGCTGTGTGTACATTTATTCCCCAAACAGTCTCATTCCTGTCATCTTTAAATTCACAACCTAATCAGTTCAGTTAAGGAGAGTGCTCATGTAAGGAATGCATTCATTCATCATTCCTGAGAGCTTTAGTCACCCTTGTATTAGGCCGGATCTTTAGGTAGCTTCAGTATCACCTCATTTCCTTGTGGGGAGGGAGGAGAGATGCGCACACCCAGGGAGCAGTGAACCTCCGCCCCTTCCCCTTCCCTGTCTACTGTGTGCAGTGTTGGTCTCATAAGCTCAGTGTAAGTCACCTGCATGTAACCAACACCACAGAGCTGATGGTTACTAAAATGCCTCTTGTCTGGTGACCTTGTGACAAATGTTCATTGGAGATTGAGGTATAAACAAGTCAACTAAAAAAATGTATATAATAGTATGTGTGCGTCACCTTGTTCAGCTCAATGCTACTTGTCTGTAGCACACTGTCTTATGAAGGAGCAAAGGGGTGTCCAGAGAGCAAGGGCCAGTGTAGATGGCTGGGGTGTTTCTGGAGGGCCAGCAGGAGAAAGAAGTGGGCCTGAGGGACGACTTACCTGAACAGTCCAAGACAGAGCAGGCGGGTGGGGAGGGGATGGTAGGCAAGTGGCCATACATGCACTTGGGGCTCTGCTCTGGAAACGCTAATATGGGGTCAGCCGTAGGCCTTACAGGGTAGGGAGGTTCTTCCTCTTATTTGCGGCTTCTTGTTTGCCCAGATTTGGGGCAACTCCACGCTAACAGTGCAATAGTAGCAAAACAATGACTAATGATATAAATGAGAATGAAGGTGTGGACAGGAAGAGAAGGCTTAGATGCACATTCAGTCCTTTCGCTGGACGTCACTGCCTGCCAAGAAGATGGATGGAATGTAGTGCCAGTCTCACAGATCACTCTGAGTTGGTTCTTAAAATAGGCGTAAGATTCTTTATAAAGAAATAAATTGGGGATCCCTAGGTGGCTCAGCGGTTTAGCGCCTGCCTTCAGCCCAGGGCATGATCCTGGAGACCTGGGATGGAGTCCCACATCAGGCTTCCCGCATGGAGCCTGCTTCTCCCTCTGCCTGTGTCTCTGCCTCTATCTCTGTGTCTCTCATGAATAAATAAATAAAAAATCTTAAAAAAAAAAAGAAATTGAATCTTTTGAAAACAAAAATTAGAACCTCAAATCATGTTACATTAAGATGAATTTTATCATCTTCCATAGGTTTTGCTTGTGGAAGACTCAGAAAAATATGAAGTGTTCAGCCAGCCTGACAGAGAGGAGTTCCTGTTTTGTCTTTTCAAACATCTTTGCCTCGGTGGAGCACTTTGTCAGTATGAAGATGTGCTTCATCCATATTTGGAAACCACAAAGCTTCTCTATAAAGATCTAGTGAGGTAAGGTTGCCGATGACAGCCAGGACACCTCTGGCTCACGGAACATATGGTGGTTCATGGTGGGATCACCCGGCATCTGCCGTTCTCCTCTGAGCATCCAGAGTGGAAGGAGTCAGTGCCCCCAGCCCGGGTCAGGGCCCCCCGTGGCTCAAAGCGCTCTTCTCTGGGACCTGCCTGTCCTTGCCTCCCCTCACCCCGCAGGGCTGCTCTGTCCCTGTGGGCACCTGCCCCCACCCCCCAGGCCGCTCTGCACCTTTCAGAACACCAGATCCCTCAGCACATGCGAATTTGCTTGGCAAACAGTAAAACATGTATTACCTTTGTTCTGAGGAGGTGGAAGAATTTTCATCTGGGCAAAATCTTTACCTTTTCAAATTAATACCAAATCCTACTTTGTTTCACACATCCCACTAGGGTTTGTTTGTTTTTTTTTCTTTTTGAAGATCAAACTGGAATAAAACCTTTATAATTCATTTATTTATACTTTCATTGAATTGAGTTTTACAGTATCACAGATCCTGTATCACTTTTATAGGCTGAAGTGATAGGAACAGTGAAAGCAAAGGGTCCCAGGATTTAGTTACAAAATTTTACTTTACTAGGAAAAGAGCAGAATTAGCTTCTCATTAGATTCTTGGTTGTTCCGCTAACCTCAGTTCTCACCCTGCTCTGTGTGTACTGTAACTGTACAACACACTACACAATTTTGTTCTTACCAAGCTTTTTAAATATGGTTTAAAAACAAAAAAATCTCTTTAATTTGCCTCTGATTTTTGTGAAAAAGTTATCAATATATAAAGATTGTGCGGAGATATATTAGAATTTCAGAAAAACATATACATATTTATATCCAAAGTGTTCTGTCCTTATCATTGCAGTTCATGATAACTTGGAAGCTGGTTTCTAGCACTGCCTGTAGATAAGATACCCCTCGGTGTGCCACAGCACATGCTCACACACACGTGTGGACACGCTGCTGCCAGCACAGTGTGCTGTGCTCCACTGGCCACATGAACCTGAGGAAATGTGCCATGGAGAAGGGGATTCTGTTGGAAGTCTTTGAAATAGAAATACCTTCAGAATGTAAACTTTGAGGAAGCTAACACTTTCCCTAGTATCTGTCTACCCTCCTGGCTTTTCACCTGTGACTCTCGCCTATGCTCCTTGGGTGCTAAGGAAACGTACACTCCAGGGGTAATGGCCACTCATGAAATGAGGTGTCAGAACTCAGGGCATCCCACAGAAAAAACGGGCACTGTGTCCACAGAATCCCTCTATCAGGCAGCTGGCAGGTATTGAAGTTGTGCACAGAGCTCTGGCGGACTCCAGAGAGATGACAAGAGGGGCCTCACATAGTCCTTGAGCTTAAGGAGATTACAGGAAACTCACATATCATAGAGTAATTGTTTAAAATCTTTTTTAAGTAAAAATTTTCATAAAATCAAACATTCAATTTTGGATAGGCAAATGTTTGCAGCTTTTTTTTTTTTTTTGCAGCTCTTGATACTGTAATAAATACCCTGGGAGTTCAGAAATTGTCAGTGTGGCTGTGCGCATGTAGGGCTGTCTGATGGAACAGAACTCCCAAGGCAGGGGAGAGGGGGCGCTTTGTCCCCTGTCATTCCATGCACTATGGGAAGGAGCCTAGTCCCAGGATACCACTGCTCGTATTTGAGGACATTAAATATTTCTTTGGACAATCCGAATTTAAGCATACTTATGAATTTCTTTGCTGAATGAGGAGGAAATGTGGAATTGTCCTCCCAAAGCAACTTTGGTAGAAACCATGATTAGAATAAATATCTGCTAAAGATGGCTTAAGTGCCAACAGAAAACAATTGAATGGATTAAACGATTGGGATCCCTTCAGAGCTACGTTGGTTGGCTTCTCACTCACTGGCACCGCTTGTGCCTTTCTGACTTTGGTCATGTTGATTTGGGTGAGATGCTGCGTCATTTGGGTAAGGGAAGGATCCAGGGTGGATCAGAGTAGCTGTTATCAAGGAATGTGGGAAGCACAGGTGCAACTCCAGGTGTCATCAGGAGTTTCTCAGAATCCTGAGCCAAATTTCCAAACAAGTCATTGGTACGAGCCAGATTAACCACATTTGTTTTTTCCTGTCCTTCCCTTGAAAAATGTTTTCACATTTTTTTTAGAAAAGCATCTGCTGTCTTTCTAATTGTACGCACAGTAGCTGCTTTGCATTATCTAACCTGCCCTTGGAGACAAACATCACCAATCCACTGCAGACCAGAAGACCACCCCTGGTGTCAGTGGAGGGGAGGCCACGTTACAGAGCTTGATTTTAATGGGCTCTGTCTGGCTCAGACAGAGGGGAAAAACAAGAAATTCTTGAGATATTTTTTTCCCTCATCCATTATTACAAGTCCTATAAAATAACACTTTTCAAATGTTCTGGAAAATGCCTTTTCAAGGATTAGGGTTCTTGTAAATATAGGTAGTACTTTAGAACCATTCCATTGGAGAGTCCGTGACCAGTTGTTCTGTTGCATTTCAGAAATGTCTATGCAGAAATAACTGCATAGTTACTATTGGTATCTTTGTCTTCTCTGCTTCCAATATTAAACACATGCTTTTGTCAGAGTTTTTAGAGGGGTTTTCCAAATTGCATATCCATCCCAGATGTGAAATTTTATGATTTTATCAGAGAGGCGTACGTTATGGCTTCAGATGCTAATTAAGCAGTGGGATTCTTGTTTCTTTTTTTTTTTTTTAAGATTTTATTTATTTATTCATGATAGTCACACACACACACACACACACACACACAGAGACACAGGCAGAGGGAGAAGCAGGCTCCATGCAGGGAGCCCGACGTGGGATTCGATCCCGGGTCTCCAGGATCACGCCCTGGGCCAAAGGCAGGCGCTAAACCGCTGTGCCACCCAGGGATCCCGGGATTCTTGTTTCTTAAAGTGAGCAGAATGGTACAGTCACTCAAACATACTAACACCATAAACGTGTTACCTACAGAAAAGGAACTACCATTTGAACCTTATTAGAAGGTCATTCCTAATAGAAATAAACCATATTATTCCATTTTATTACCTCTGATCCTATATCACCATTACTTTAAAGTAGCTCTAAAAATAATTTGTCTTATTTTTTATAGATGAGGTAGACTATCACCTGCCTGAAATCTCCTAGGAGAAAAGGAAAGGTAGAGTGATGGTGGTCAGCACCCTAGGAAATGCAGCTAACAATCATGCTGCATCAGGTCTGTGGCATCCACTCACTCACTCACTCACTCACTCACTCCAGATAACCATGGCTTTTAAGAGTGCTAGAACATAATTTCCATATAGTTTTTTAAAAGAGTGATTGTATTAATGGTTTAGAAATAAAATAATGATTTCTTAAAATCATTTATGCTAATTTCTGAGGCTGGATCCCATATTGACTGTAAACATGTTGCACTGACCATTCTAGGTAACTGCTCACTTTAAGAGATATATAGAAATTAACTTAATTGATTGATATCTGGGTGTAAATTTGAATGAAATGTTTTAAAGATACACACTTTGACCCCTGAAACCCAGACCCTTAGGTCTGGCCACTCCAGCAGGTATATGAGCTCATGCACACTCACAAGCAGGCTCACACTCATGCTCACACTCAGGCACACTCATGCTCAGCACAGTCCTCCTTCTCCCTCCTCCTCTCTGCCTCCACATTGCTCTTCACATAGAGTGAAGGAGAAGCAGTGCTTGGCCCTAATAGAGTGAAGAAGAGGGATATCTTCTGTCAGATGTCACCTACATGTGTCCTACATGCTGTATGTGTTTGCACAGGGAAAGGAGCTGCACGCCAGGTGTGTGGCAGACTGCAGAGCGGTACAAAGATAACGTGTGCCACTCTCCGTGGCTTGTTCCCTCATTCCCACTCCCTCTCCCTCTACACTTTGCCACAGGGAATCTTCTTGGGAAAAGGGACTGGGAGAGACCTACTGGGAGAAAACGATTTCATTCAACACAAGTTAATCATCCGTAATTCAACAAATAGTTTTCTTATCCTTATCCCACTCAATTCTCGGGTAACCCTACAGGGAGCCATAGCATCTGACAATTCTCTTCTACCCTACTTCACGGGAAGAGAACTGACATCAGGAGAGTTCATGTTGCCCAGAGTGCAACAATGATGGCTCAGGGGCAGAACTGGCATGTGTGTGAGATGATTTAATCCCCTGGTTCACATGCTCATACCTGCCCCATGTAGCTGTCTACACCCCCATCTGATTCTTACCAATTCCTTCTTCCAATAATTGTCTCTGGCCCAGGAGACCTTCATCATCAGACCTCACAGCCTCTGACTGTCCATCCAGTTGCATTGTCTGCCATTGGTCTGGGCAACCTCACCCCATCCATGGATGAAACTGCAGACTTGGTGCTTTTCAAACTAGTCTTGGTGGACGCTATGTATTTCTGTTGTATATGAATAAGAACATGTGAATACTAAAAGGCCTCGGTATTTTAAATGTATGATGCCAATGCTTGCTGTATTCAAAATGTACCTCTTTTCCCTATTTTAGTGTCCGAAAGAATCCTCAGACCAAGAAAATACAAATTACTTCTTCTGTCTTTAAAGTCATGGCTTATGTAAGTCCTGAGGGGGGTTCGCGAGTGATCAGTTTGGTCTCATGTTATTCGGAGGCTGTGGGAACTCCAGCAAGAACAAGTATGATATCATGCCTGCAGAAAGGATGATGATTCTTAGTTCTTTGTTAAAATTCAAAGTTGATAAGATATGCCTTTGTTTGGAGAGCCACACGACCCCCCCACTTCTGTTGTCCGTGTCTAATAATAGTCCTTACCGCCGGAAGACCTGAGCCTGACTGATGGAGTAGGACGCACTTCGCAGCTCAGCCATGCTGCAATCTATGTGGCAATTAAGTGCAAATGCCACAAATGTCTTTATATCACAGAATCTGATGCTCAAATTCTAGGGTCAGACAGAAGATGATTAGCACATTTGAATCAGTTTCTAAGTATCTCTATTCAATCACTGAACAACTATTGAGTATCTATTGTGTATCAGCTACTGGGTTGGCCCTGGGCATTTTTTGTTGATAAACAGTTGCTTCCCTCATAGTTGGTAAGGGCCACAATCTAAAAGGAAGCAAAGATAGAAGAAAATTGCAAAGTAGAGATGTTTGCAATATTAGCACCTTAAAAACACTTTTTCACAAGGTAAAATTTCCTTTTGGACTATAAATTCCTTAAGGTCAAGAATTATGTGTGCTTATACAGCACAATAGATGGGGCCATCAGTAAGTATTTTAAAATATCAGTTAATTATCAATTTATTGTAAAAGATTTCATTTATGTTTCATGACATTTTAACAGAAAACATATATTAATTAAATATATTATTATTTAAATGTCATCGTAGACTAACAGTTGGCTTTATCTCTTTCAGGACTCTAATGGTGTGTGCTACCCTTCCACAAAGAGTCACGAACAGACATTTTCTTACTTTATCGTGGATCCAATCAAGCGTCACGTTCATGTTTTATATCACTGCTATGGTGTGGGGGAAATGTCTTAACATTGTTCTCTCAGATGATCTATTTTAATATTGCTTTACTTACCAATTTTTAATTTTAATGCCAATTTATAGGTAAACATTTATTTTGCAAGTTAATTCAAGAAAAGTATAGAGAGCCTGCTTAGAGCAGAAGGAAACAAATACCACGGTGCCTTTCTTTAAATTTATCTGGAATAGCAGTGTAAGGACCAAATTCCATCCATAACACAATCAACAACAATACAGTTTTTTTTTTTTTACAAAAAAACTGGGAAAGTCACAAAGAACTAAAAATCTAGTTCATATTTGTTGCATTAAGAATTAAGTAAGCCCTCAATTTTCCATGTGTTTTATTTTAGAAGCTAATTAATTCTGGGTTGAAATTGTGGCAGAAAACTGAACATCGCTCTATTGATCAATAGGAACTGTTAGCTTTTTAAATTTGAGTTTCATTTTATTACATAAAGATTTACATCTCTAGGGCTGTAGAATGCGTAACGATGCCTTGGCTTCATTTGTCCCACTTAAAATCCTGAATAAAAAGTAATGTTCTGGGGTGCCTGAGTGGCTCAATTGGTTGAGTGTCTGCCTTGGCCTAGATCATCATCCCAGGGTCCAGGGATAGAGTCCCTCATCAGGCTCCCTGCTCAGTGGGGAGCCTCCTCCCTCTCCTTCTGCTTGCTGCTCTGCCTTCTTGTGCATGCTTGCTCTCTCTCTCTCTGCCAAATAAATAACATCCTTTTTTTTTTTTTTTAAAAAAAAAAAAAGAAGGGATCCCTGGGTGGCGCAGTGGTTTAGCACCTGCCTTTGGCCCAGGGTGCGATCCTGGAGACCTGGGATCGAATCCCACGTCGGGCTCCCGATGCATGGAGCCTGCTTCTCTCTCTGCCTCTCTCTCTCTCTCTCTCTCTCTCTGACTATCATAAATAAACTAAAAAAAAAAAAAAAAAAAAAAAGAAAAGAAAAAGAAAAAAAAAAGTAATGTTCTCAGGGCACCTGGGTGGCTCAGTAGTTGAGTGCCTCCCTTCGGTCCAGGGTGTGATCCTGGGTTCCCGGGTTGGAGTCCCACATTGGGCTCCCTGCATGGACCCTACTTCTCCCTCTGCCTATGTCTCTGCCTCTCTTTCTCTCTGTGTCTCTCATGAATTAAATAAATAAAATCTTCTTTTTTTTAAGTAATGTTCTGAAAGTAATCGTAAACTCTTATCACATAATAAACTACAACCTCCCACATGTGAAGAGAGAGCACTGCCATGACGATATCCAGGTGGCAGATGATTCAAGAGCAGGGGTCTTACATTCTCCTATTTCCTCGTTGCATTCACAGAAATGAATATGTGACTTAAAATATTTTAATGGAAAAAATAGGGGCATCTGGCTGGCTCAGTCCCTAGAGTGTGAGATTCTTGATCTCAGGATTGTGGGTTCGAACCCCTCACTGGGGGAAGAGGAAGGAAGGGAGGGAGGGAGGCATGACTGACATGTGTCCCAAAGATAAGGAGCATGCAAGAAATGTCAAGACTTTGAGGGGAGGCAAGTTTGGAATACATGTTTCTGTGTTGTAAGAGTAGGGATGAGAATCTGCAATTTGTACCTGTGGATTTATCTGGAAAGCACCTGGCAATTGGGATAGAGAGCTCAGGACAGTTTGTTTCACTTTTTCACTTCTAATACAGTGTGTGCACATTAAATGCCTATTGAATGAGAATTTCCCAGTTATGTTCCTAATATCCATAGGAAACATAAAATTAAGAACTAAAATGTCACACCTGTCATGCTGCATACCACACAGACTTTACAACCTGGGGACCCTCTCCTAATTAGTTGGTCAATCAACCTTTTTTATGTATTAGCTCTGTGCATGGCACTCTGCTGCTTCCTTTGGGAAAGCCCACACTCCGTCTAAGCCTGGTGGAGAAGGGGATCTGTTCGAGTGTGCAGGTGGAAGAGATGGCTGTGAACTAGGCTCATCTTGGCCTGGCTTCCACAGAACAATGGGTGGGGTGTCAGCACCTGGGGAGGAGAGCTGGGCCATTGGGTGTGGGCATGGGCAGGGGGAAGCGAGGGGTGGGAGGGGGCAAGAGCCGGGCCCTGGGGTTAAAGTCCAGAGGTCAAGGTGGGGAACCCATCCTGATGGGTGGCCAGCATCCTTTCTTCTGCTTTAGAGGTGGAGGAACAAAACACCTTTGAGGAAAGATGGCTCCATTGCTTTGGGATGATCATTTTAATGACCCCTCTGTGATCATGCAAATTCTTGGCATTGAGGGTAGAACAGCCCAACAATAAAGAATTTGGGCCCGCATCCAGATCACCTGGATTCTTACTGCCACCTGCACCCGACTTGCTGTGTGACTGAACTAGTTAACAACTTCTCTGTGCGCGACTTGGCCTCATCTGTAAAATAGGGGAAATGATAGGGTTCGTCATGGGTTATTGTGAAAATTACATACATTAATACACATTATTTGGCTTGGAATAGTGCCAGTATGTGTGGGTTTGGGTTCTTTTCATTCTTCAACAAGGAAATATGAAAAAACCAGGAGCTCAACTGTGCATAATAATGTAAAAACCGGTCTTCCTCAAGCTCAGAATTGCTTTTTTTATAGGTTCTACTATTGCTAATTTGACTGGATAGAGAACAAGAGTTGGGAGCACAGGCTTGCCGGCTCTGGGCCCCAGAGAATATAGAGAACCTAACCTATGCTTGTACTCCCAAGAACTTATTTGCACACTTAGAATTATTGCTCACCTGGTCTATCTGTAATCATGTGATGTCTATCAGGAAGACGACCCGTGTTTCTGTGCCTCACCCCCACGTCTCCCCTGTGTAGTGCAGTGCCTGACCCTCAGTGTCTGTTGATTGAAGGAGAGAAGGTGGCCCTTGAAGCGTGACTGCAGGTGTGCAGAGGGGCGGGGGAAGTGGATAAGGAGAGTGGGGAGCATCCTCACATGAGGGTCAGCCACAGCCAGCCTGTGGTCCTGCTGTACACTGTTCTACTCTGGACGCAGCCATGCTACTGGGTCAGAACTGTCCCCAGGATGGCAGCACCTCCAGCAGCTGGTGCTAGAACTGCCTGCTGCTACCTGCGACCGGCAAAGGGATGGGGTTTCTCTGGAGTGAGAAACTGACAGTGGGGACTGGTGACAACAGAATCATTTTCTGGGACTTGAGAGCATTCTTCAGAAATTCTGAAAATTACTTAAGGGAAGAAGGTGGCAGGAGTATAATCTGGACAATTCTAAGGGGCCTCAGTCTGAAGACCAGAGAACTTGGGACACTGGGGTCCCAGGAGGGATGAATGACCTGGTGGCTCCAGGGATGACATGACTGCACTGGCTGGTGGGAGCTGAGGAGTTCTGTCCAGGAGTCCTGGGCACTAATGCAGGAGACAGGTTGATGGACCTGCTCACAGGGCTGTGACTACAAAGATGAGAAATGTAAATCTTTTTAGTAGGTGATGCGTAGCCATTATGGAAGACTTTGCGGCAGGGCATCATCAAAGTGGTGTTCTAGGAAGATTAGCCTGGCAGTGATGAATTGGGGTGAAGAAAGTCCAAAGTCTAGAGATCGAGTAGAAGATCATTGTACTTGTCAAAGCATAGAATCGGCCCATCTGCATGACAAGCAAGGGAAACCTTTCCGGGCATCACAAAGGATGTGACAGTGGAATGCGCACCAGAAAAAATCAAATATGGCCCCCAAAAGTCAGCAATGGGGTGAATTATGACATGTTGAGTATTTGAGGTACAAGGACTGGGAAGTGGGAGCTGTGGTAGGAAGCTGTGGTTGGGGAGGGGAACTCCCTCGTCCTGCTCATGCTTCCTGTTCCAGCCCCGTGTCAACCCACTGTGGTGGTTACAGCTCTTAGAATCTATGACGACTCTGACATGGGCTGCAGGCTTCTCCTTGGCCAGCAGACCAGCAAGGATTGTCCATGCTCCACCAGTGTTTGTGGATTGCCTGCTCTGTGCTAGACAGCAAATCAGATGACATTTGCACATTGGAGAGTCTGTGCTCTAGCGCCCGCAGCAGTGCCAGGTGCAGTGAGATGTGAAAAGAAACACCCAATTACTCTCCAGAAACCTGAAGTTTGGTCAGAGACCTGACACATCCACAGATTTTCATGTTTTTCAGTCTGATGAACTTGAATGGTATTATTTTCATTACTCTCACTTTTTGTATGAGGTAGAACATTATTTTGTGTATTTCCTCAACCATGTATATTGATGATTGTGGGGAACCCCACAGCTGGGAACCAGTGCCCTGCTGTCAGAGAAGATACAAACAATAGAACAAAGAATAACAGGGACACACGGGGTCTTCCAGTAAAATCTGCATTAATTGGCACAAAAGGCCACAGTGAGGCCACAGTTAGCGGTGTCCAACTGGCAGACCAGCAGCCACTGTATCTGACACCCTCAGTGTCCTGACCTGGCACAAAGTTTAAAGGTCACGGAGATAGGCAGGCCAAACTGGGTTTAATTAAGGTGGTTTGCTTTGGGTGCATTTTTTTATTTTATTTATTGATTATTTATTTTTTGGGTGCATTTTTTTAGAGTAAAAATATGTCACTTGGCCTTAGCCAGCACTAGGAATCTGAATTATTTTTCTTACCTTTTTTGTTACTAGAAAGGTGTGTGAGAGAAATGGTCAAGGGAAACCAGCTATGACAATATAAACTAACTTTTATTCAACCAAATTCTTGATCCAATATGTATTCTCAAAACATATTGTACAATGAAACAGTTATTCTGCCTAAATGTACCTCACACCTATAAGGTTAAACACACCAGTGAAGCTCCAAGGGAACCAGGAGAGGCTGGTCGATAATGAAAGGGAATTGAAGAACATTTTAAAAGAAATGACGGTCAGGTTACCCCGCAGGCTCAGCCTGTGGAGGCTGACTCTTAACCTCAGGGTTATGAGTTCCAGCCCCATGAAGAGAGGATTTAAAAATAAAATCTCTAAGAAAAATAATAAATGACAGTCCTGCAACTACTAAAGGGAACTAGAGGGTATTGTGTTCAGTGAAATAAGCCAGAGAAAGATGTAACATACAATATCACTTATTGTGGAATCTAACAAACAAACCAAAAAAAAAAAAACCAGAAGCGGGCTCATAAATGCAGAGAAGAAATTGGTGGTTTCCAGGAGTGGTGGGGGGACGGGTGGAACAGGTGTCGGATGGAGGGGTACAGACCTCCAGTTAGGAAACAAGGCCCGGGATGAGCAGTACCGCACAGGGGGCAGAGTGGTTTCTACTGTAACGGCGCTGCTCGGGGACAAATGGGACCATGGTGCTCTAGGGAGCGCCCAGAGACTAGACCAAACAGCCAATGTCTGCTGGATGCTAGGCATAGTTTGAGTCCTGGGGACACTATGAACAAAATGCAAAACCACGGTTTCTGAAAAACATACTCTACTGATAAAAATATAAAATACATAAAGTAATTATAAATTACGATTTTTCTAGGAAATAAATCAAAAAGTGCTTAGTCTGAGGGGTACCTGGCTGGCTCAGTCAGTGGAGCATGGGACTCTTGATTTTGGGATCACATGTTTGAGCCCCATGTGGGCATAGAGCTCACTTAAAAAATAAATTTTTTTGAAAAAAGAGTGCTTAGTCTGAGAAGACTCCTCTGAGGCGGTAACATTTGAACTGAGACATAAGCATATGAATGTTTTCAGGAATACAGCATGTGCACAGGGCCTGAGATGGAGATGAGTTTCGTGTTCCAGGAGCTGCCAGACGTCACAATGGCGCAAAGGAGGCACAAAGGAATGGCAGGAGTTGAAGTTGGGGAAATGGCTCACACACATCTTATAAGTCAATGAAATGAGTTCAGACCATAATGGTCGTGCAACAGGGAACCACTCAAAGGCTTTATTTTATTTTTTTAAGATTTTATTTATTTATGAAAGACAGAGAGAGAGAGAGAGAGGCAGAGACACAGGCAGAGGGAGGAGAAGCAGGCCTCATGCAGGAAGCCCAATGTGGAACTCGATCCCGGGACTCTGGGATCACACCCTGAGCCAAAGGCAGACGCTCAACCGCTGAGCCACCAAGGCGTCCTTCAAAGGCTTTAAAAGATGGAAAAAGCATTGTGGCTACCTTATAGTAGGTGGAGTGAGAAGATGAAGAAACTATCCCCATCTAGTGAGACAGGAGGGCAA